TGTGGTGCTGGGGGATTGAACCGCGGTCCCTGTGCTTTGCTAAGCTTGTTCTTAGTAGGTGCTTTAGACCACTGAGCCATCTCACCAGCCCTGCTAGTACTTTTTTTTAGATTGTTGTTTGCATCACTTTTTTTTTTTTAATGTATTTCATACAGGGTCTACAGGTTCTCACTACACAAATTGGACTCAGAATGCAAGCACAAGGGCCTGGGTTCAATCCCCGGTTCCAGGGGGGAATTGGACTCAATGATCCTCCTTTTTACAGCCTCCCAAGAGCTAGGCTTACAGGTGCCTGCCACCATGCCCAGTTTCAGTTGCCCTCTCAGCCCTACCCTGGGGAGGTGGGGCCGGCATGGCACACAGGGGATCGAACCCTGCTCCCTGCACCTGCCTAAACAGGCGCTTTACTCCGCTGAGCTATCTAGCTGGCCCTGGTTTGGAGGTTTTTGAGGACAGATTCAAACTCCTTACTTCTTATGGGTACCTTGAGCTTTTCTATCTCTTCGTGATTGAGTCTTGGTGGGGATTATGTTTCTAGGAATTTGCCTACTTCCTCTGGTCAAATTTATTGGAGTATGATTATCAACAGTATTCTCTTATAATAATAATAATAATAATAATAATAATAATAATAATAGCAATAATAATACAGGGGCCAGGAGTTTGATCCCTTGGCCGGCTGTGATGGCCCTGCCCCCAGTGAGGGGCTGAGAGGGCAATTGAGATTGGGCATGGTGGCATACATGCCTATAATCCCAGCACTTGGGAGGCTGAAAACAGGAGAATCACTACAAGTCTGATCTACCTAGTGAGATCCTTTGCACCCTGTCCTAAATAAAAACAAAATAATAATAATAATTTTATGTATTTGATACAGAGTCTCATTACGTAGCTCAGACTCATAGTGATCCTCCTATTTCAGCCTCCCCAGCGCTGGGATTATGGGCATCCACCACCACGCTGGGTCTGAGTGGCCTGCTCTACACACCCAGGGGAGGGGTGGCAGGGCATATAGTAGTACCCGGGCTGAACCCCAGTCCCTGTGCTTGCCTAAGCAGGCGTTTAGTCTGCTGAGCTCTCTCTGGCCCTCTTACAATTATTTTGTTTCTGTAGAATCATTAGTAATAATCTTACCTTTTTTTTTTTTTTTTACTCTCACTATGTAGTTTAGACTGGCTTCAAACTCACAGTGATCCTCCTGCCTCAGCCTCCCCGGTGCTGGGATTACAGGCATGTGCCAACATGCCCAGCTTCACTTTAATTTCTTTCTTTCTTTTTCTTTTTTCTTTTTTTTTAAAAGGGTAATAAATGAAAAAAAAAGACACAGAATAAGGAAAAAAATCACAGGTTCACTTTAATTTCTGATTTTAGTAATTTTCAATCTTTTTTTTTGTCAAATAACCAATTTGGCAGAGGTATTAGTTGATTGTCTCTGTTATTTTGCCAATTTCTGTTTTGTTTTTATGATCTTGTATTAGTGTTGGGTTTAGATTTGTCTTACTGTCTCCATTAGTTGTGAAGCACTTGATTTTAGACCTTTCCTCTTGTCTGATGTGGCCCGTACAGCTGTGCATTTCCTCCCTAGAACAGCTTTCTCTGTGGCCCGTAAGTTTTGCTATGAGATGGGTTTGCTTCATTCAATTTTTAAAAAATTTTTTATTTATGTGTGTGTGTGTGTGTGTGTGTGTGGCCAGCTCAGCCCACCAGGGGGCGGGGCTGGCTGGCGTGTGGTGCTGGGGGATTGAACCGCGGTCCCTGTGCTTTGCTAAGCTTGTTCTAAGTGGGTGCTTTAGACCACTGAGCCATCTCACCAGCCCCTGCTTCATTCATTCAATTTTATTTTATTTTGGTTCTCTAAGAACTTTCTAATTTCCCTGTGATTTCTTCTGTGAATCATTGGTTGCTTGTTATTGGAGAGTTTCTTACATATTCCAGGAACGCATTCTTTATCAGATACATAAGTTACAAAGATTTTCTACGATTTGAGGGGTTGTTGTTCTCTCTGTTAGTAGTATCCTTTGATCTACTTAAGTTTTGTTTTGTTGCCAGGTGTGGGAGCGCATGCAGGTGCCTATAATCCCAGCACTTAGGAGGCTGAGGCCAGCCAGGGCTACAGAGTGAGTTCCAAGCCAGCCTGAACTGCACAGTGAAACCCTGTCTCAAAAAGACAAAAGAAAGGGCTGGGGAGATAGCTCAGCAGATTAAGCACTTGTCTGGCAAGTGCAAGGGCCTGAGTTCAATCCCCAGTTCAACACACACACACACACACACACACACACACAAAAGAACCTATCTCCAGTATGGGTTGTCTCAAAAGACAAAAGAAAAAAAGAAAGAAAGAAACCTTTTGAGACATGGACATGGTCTTGTTATGTAGCCCAGGCTAGTACCGAATTCCAGGTACTCGTCCTGCGTCAGCTGTGGTAACAGGGATGTGCCACCGTGACTGGGCAAAGCTTTTAATTTTATCTGTGGGAGGAAGCCCATCCATGTAATTCCAGCACTCTGGGAGGCTAAGGCAAGAGGACTGCAGGTTTGAGGCCAGCCTGGAGAATTTAGTAAGTTAATGAGAATCATTTCAAAACTGAAAAAAGGGGGCTGTTGAGATGGCTCAGTGGTCTAAAGCACCTACTTAGAACAAGCTAAACAAAGCACAGGGACCACGGTTCAATCCCCCAGCACCACATGCCAGCCAGCCCCGCCCCCGGTGGGCTGAGCTGGCCACACACACACACACACACACACACACAAATAAATAAATAATTAAAAAAAACAAAAAGAAAATGCTGAGGGTGTGGCTCAGTGAGAAGGCCCTGGGTCGGAGCCCTAGCAACGCAAGCGTGCACGCGCGCGCACACGCACGCACACACACACACACTGGAACAGGCTACCACATGATCTTTTCCTTCCACTCTCATCGTACACCAGAGCGTGTCTTCCAACAGCCCTGTACAAGTGCACCCAGTGAATTATTTATGACAGTGTCAACATGGATACAATCTAAATGCCCACCTGCGGCTGACTGGGCAATAAAGCACACTGCGTTCACATGGTGGAACACTTTAGCTGTGAACTCGGGTAATCTGTTACCCACAGCGGGGACAAGTCTCACAAATGCTAAGCCAGGACACTGCCACCATAAAAGCATGTGAACTCTAGGCTCACCTGGTGAGTGATTCTGCCCTTGCTGGAGACAGAGTGATGTCACTGGGGAAGGGTCATAGTCTCTCTCTCTCTCTCTCTCTCTCTCTCTCTCTCTCTCTCTCTCTCTGTTTTTCTCTTTCCTCTCTCTTTTTCTCTCTCTTTGTATTTTAGGGAAAGGTCTACAGGGTGTTCAGGGTCTCACTACTATATCAGACTCGTAGTGATCAGCCTGTTTACAGCCTCCCAAGAGCTGGGATTACAGGCGCACACCACCATGCCCAGTCTCAATTGCCCTCTCAGCACACCCCAAGGGGCAGGGCTGGCACAGCAGGCCCAGGGTTTGAACCCCTGGCCCCTGT